AAAATTCAGCTAAAGGGAATGAGATTTGAGACGATAGAAGAGATTCAGGCAGAATCGCAGATGGGGCTTGACAGGCTGAGAAAGAAAGATTTCCAGGGATGCTTCCAGGCTTGGCAGCGGCGCTGGGATCGTTGTGTTCACTCCCAGGGGAACTACTTCGAGGGTGATGGATGAATTTAATACCTGAGATAAGTGTACGGGTTTTTATACGCGCAGTCTTGAAACTTTCCGATCGCACCTCGTAAACAGCTTAATTGATAGGTTTGTTAATTATTGCATATATTTACTTTTAAATGATTTGTGAAACGTCTTCTTGACTTAGACTACGTCACACGTCTATTACATGTTCGGTGTGTGTTTCTATGTCAGTACGTCTGAGTGACGAGGTTAACCTGCAGTTGATTAGTATTTTGAAGGTTTTATTTATACAGAGGTGACTTTCAAGAGCTCAGATCGCGCTATACATTCTCTTACATCTGCATAATGTTCCATTATATCAGCATCACCATTTTAAATTATTGTGATGTGCCAGACTAGGCGTTTAAAAACTTAACCACTCTAACAGGTCATAGAAAGTTGCGGTCAGGTGGGATCTACTTCGTATTCTGGAGGCCTGGGTTTCAATTTCAGATCCGAAGGTCGACTGTCTGACCGAGTTTCCCCAGTCCTTCGAGGAAAATGCATTGATGGCACATCAATTTTTCACGGCATTTCCTTTCCATGCACATCCTTTCCAATTCATTATTCACAGCCTCCCTACCATTGGACACTGTGCAGACTGACTTATGAAGATGAAAAACTGTAGTTAAATAATTTAAGAGGAAGGAAACCGAGAGGAAGACGGCCTCTAAGGAGATGGAAACTTTTCGTGTTGAAAATGTGCAGTTACAAATAATGCAAAAAAATCTGAATTCACGAACGTAAATGCTCAATTCTTTTACAGATTTTCCACTTTGCATATTCCTTCCAGGCGCTCCTTTTTGCCTCTTGTACAAGTATTTAGACTTCTAAATGCCGTTTCATAAATCATTTCCTTCCTGGAAGGAACGAAATGCAGTGCATCTGCACTGTGCGAAACAGGCTACAAATAAAAAATTACAGTGTTTAAAAAACGTAATTTTTAAATTGGCATAAAGTATCCTCCAGAACTTATTATTTCTAAGAACCAAAATTTCAGAATTTCTATAGTAAATTAGTCATCCTCTTCACAGTAGATAATAATACTAGTTGATTAGTGGTCAGAGATTTTAAAGTCAATTTCAGAAATTTCTAATGTAGTGCGAGATGAAAACGTAATTGTAGAATACTGCAGAGGAAAATGTCGTGGCCTGTTTCAAGATACTATCCCTTCTTTGATTATATAACTTTGACAATATGAAATGAAGGAAGTCTTTCGTTGCTCTAGGTGTAACGAAAGCCAAACTGGAACACACCTATCACAAAAATATTTATTGTAATTATTATAAATCCCTATTATTTTACTATTTAGTTCCAGTAGTACATTCTGACGCAGATTTGGTTATGAGATATTTAATCTTTAAGACATGTAATAGAATTCCTGATAAGGGGCATCTGTTAACCGTAAGACGTAATTACAGGACATCAAAGGGGATAAAAACAGCGGAATTCAAGATTACAGTTCGAGTGTCCCGACAGTGTAAGACAGTGCATGATTTTATAAAATGATCACCGGTTATTTTAAGAAGACGTCAATGCAGAGCGCTGGAACTTTTACAAAGGATGACGTGAGTCAACTGAGTAGATGTGCGGATTTATTTTGCGTTTGTAAGAGAAGTGAGAGCCATTTATTTATTATCCATAGATTTTGAACTATATAAATTACACGTTACCATGAAAATAAATATGCTAACCGAAGAGAGTTCTTTAACCATTTAAATCCCAGTGGTAGCAGCTTCTTTAACAACCAGTAACTGTATATTGCATTTGTATGTTTCGTATAATTCTCAGTGTAAACAGGGATCATTTCCTTAAACAGCATTAACAAGCTGATCATTGTAATGGTAAAGTCTTGTGTTCTCTTTGAGGTACGGACTTAGTTCTTACATATTATGTAGACTGACTTCGACTTCAAGAGGTTAATTAAGAACTAGCATCAAAGGGGTTCATACAGAATAATCATATATATCGATACAACATCTTCCTTATTTTTCAGCCCATGGCGTACCAGGTGCGCGTGTTCCGTCCTCTGGCGTGTGCAGCTTTGTTGGTGTGTTTAGTGGTATACTCTTTATTCTACGCCTCGTCGACAATGTTCCAGTCCACGGCGCCAGGTAACACATTCGTACTACATAAAAAGAATTGTTATTCTTCTGGATCGTAACGCCGTGAGGGCTTGCAGTATATATCAGAGGAGAAACGTACTGCTTCTACATTTAGGGCTGACATTTTCAAAATCCTGAAAACATTTATCATTCCCCCGTACGTGCTACATGCCCCGCACATCTTTCTCGATCAGACACTGCAATAATATTTGGGCGAAACAAATATTGAAGATCCTCCTCAGATTTTTCTCTATTCTCTTGTTATTACCTATTTCGTAGTATTTTCCGTCCTACTATTTCTAATGTCCAAAAAAGTCTTTCAATAGAATGGGATCTAATATCACACCAAGACTCTGTGCAGTGACCAACGACACCTACAAGTGGATCGGGTGGGTTTGAAACCAGCTCCTTCTGAAGCATGTCGTGCATTCTTTTCCCAGAAACCAATAGCCTATAGATCTCAACCTGGACCTTCCAACAAACACTTCCGCAAAGCGACGGAGTCTAGAGCTGCGTCTCTTATCGTAACAAGCTTTTATTAAAGGACATCCGGTTCTGATGACATGAAGAGATTTTCCATGTTATACAGCAGCGCTAGTTTCGTCTGGCCAGACTTGCCACGTGTTTCCTTCTAACAGTCCTACATTTAGGAATGTTGAAAATGAGGCCCCAACCTACTGCAGTGATTCTCGGGAGTTGGCTGTCTTCTGAGTTGTGTCGTGTAGTCTGGTAGACGTTTTAAAGGTGATTTTTATATTAATTATCAGGATGATGTATCTTTCTTTGGAACAGAATCGTCTTAGCAAAACCCAACGCGTTTCATCAGTACCTGCTGGCAAATGCGGGACTAGTGTCCTAAAATACGATTCGACTGCTTTCATATCCCTTTCAGATTTTAATTCAAATTTATCCTCTCATTCTCTAAGTAACTAACTCTACGGTAGAAGATTTTCTTAAGCAGATGGTAGTTATTCAGCTGGTAAAGAAATCCCTGCTTTTACTGAACACGAAGGTTAAACACAGTGGTCACAAAGCCCGTTATTAGGACCTATTTGTGCAATATACATCTTAGTATTATCCGCCAGCATTGGTTTAAGCTGAATAACTATCGATCTTTCAAGAATTACCTTTTACGTGGAGTTCATTAATTTAGCCTCAAATAAGCTGAGATAATGAATGATGAATCAAAAGGGATATGGACTGAAATTACCGCGGTTTATTTAAATGTACTATCCTGTCATTCTGTCGAAGAGATTTTACTGAAAATGCAATGCGGATAGTCTACCCACCAGATTAAATTTATTTAAATATCTTCCTTAGAAGAAACCAGGCATCACGAGTCTTGGTAACGAGTAATGATGTAAACGTAAGATTTACGCTTAACATACTTATTAAAACCACACGTGGTTACTGAACAAGAAACCAATATACGAATATCATTAACCTATAAAATCCGATATGAAGTGTCATAATGAAGCACAAGAGCTGCACGAAACATTATTCTCTTAACCGACTGCATATCCCATGCATAGTAAACGCATTTTGTTTGTTATTTTTCCCCCGACTTGATTCTAACACGTTGCAAGATGCACGTCATAGATATGTCTAACTTTATGCGATTACTATAATAAATAATTGCTTCCTATTATAAGATTAATCGATTTACACTTCAGTTCTGACTTAAGTATAATTTATATAATGTTCAAATAATCGCGTGCAGAAGTGTCAGCTGCATGTCATAAACACAAGCGGAAAGAGTTCATTAAAATTCCCAGTCTTATTCTTTATCGTTATTCAATGCATCACACGTCACTGATTAGTGGATGACTAACATAATAAGGCACAATCAAACAATGGAGCCGAAAGAATAACTGAGCGGACGGCTGAGTCCATCCCATCCATGTGAAATGCCTGGGAGGATGCAGGTATATCGATGCAGGACGAATCTACGTGTTCCACGTCCGTTATAATTATAAGGCAAAAAAGATACACTGTCCATAGTGCAAGCATTATTTCCCAGCAGCAGTATATCTTATGAACTGTCTCAGTTCCTGTGTCGGTAATGTTTTTGGCTTACGTAGTATATGCGTTTTCGTTCCATCCCCCAAGGTAGTGACGTAGACGAAACGAAAGGGCCGATATAGGGGACTGGACAAGAACTGTCAATGAACGTCTTCGGCTATTAACATTTCCAGTTAATTTCGCTTTTACATTAAAATGTCTGTCCTGTTTGTGCGCGTGGCTTAGGCTATGCCTCTTAGATCAGAGTTTATCAACCTATGGCACGCGAGCCAATGTTGATTGGTACGCGAACTAAATAAGAAAATCAAAAGGTAATATTAACAGAAATAAATTTTCCCTGGACGCATTTGGTTAGTGGTATATTTAACGTGTTAAATTAGAATTAGTGGTACGCCAGCGAAAAAGAGTGAGAACCCCTGCTCTAGATGAAGATGACTGGTAAAGGGGGCCTACAGCGTAACGCGAGATCCAGACAACCATGTGGGCTGGGTATACCTCACGATCAGTGAAGATGGGGTTGGTCAGTGAAGGGGACATTAGCCTGCAGCTAAATGCAGCATCCGGTAGGCCTCTACAATAGAGCACCAATATTTTATGACACTTTTACTTCAGTTACCATACCGAAGAAGGGCTTCTAAATATATGCAGGCCATTGAAGTCTTTGTACATGGTAGTTTATTCCAATATGAGATGTACGTACAGTTTGGATCCTTACATAACACCATGGAAATACACACACTCTGGGTTTGATGACCTAAACCAGGAATTCTGATTAAAATATGGCTCCTAGTTATCCGACAGATTTAATCCTGAAAAGCAGAGTTATAACTATATGTATACCATCTGCTTTCACAAGTATCACAGCATTTTGTATGTATGGGTTTCGTATGATTCTCGTCGTAAACAGTTAGTATTACTTTCCACAGCGTTAACCAGTTAATTTTTGTAATGGTAAATCGTGGTATTTTCGAGATACGAACTTACCATTACTAGCTTTAAAAATTTAAATTATGATACGATAACGCTTAAGCCTACGTAGTCGTAATGAAATAAGTCGTTGAGCAACATATGTACCAAAAGGCTTATACAGATCAGAAACCGTGGCACACAACTAACTTTCTAACTGGTGGCAGTGCAGTAGATTCAAGTATTTCAGCTACAAGTATGTGAGTGGTAATTTCTGTAACGTTGGCCAAGGGATATATCGTTCACAAAATTAAAGACCTGTTGCTATGAACGTAGGCAGTAAAATCCCACAATAAAGGAATTTACTGTTAGTTATTCTTGTAGATACATGAATGAGTATATGCTAGTTGGTTAATCGTACATATGTTTCATGAGTGTTACCAGCGAAAACGCCAACTTGTCAATTATTAACATGGGTACTGATTTGTTTTAAGCAACATTTCACACGCATAGAATGCAAATTCCATTTGCTTATAAAACATTATTTGTTTACCATTCATACTTTCGCAAGTGAATTTCAGAGGCAGAAATGTCTAATGTAAACTCGTCTTCATATCTGTAACAAATCGTAATGTGAACACATCTGTCGTATTTAATTACGAATTTTGCGAATTGTCTCTTAATATTTCCGCCTATAGGGGTAAAGCGTTCATGTTAACCGTGTTAGCACGGCTGACACTGAAAAACGAAAAATAAAAAGTACTGTATTTCTTTCGCGGTTCAGTGGTACTCCATACAATGGAACACAGCAGAATCGATCAGATAAAATGCATCCAGGCTTTGTTAGCCAGATACTTGAGGCTTACGCTCGCCGCGAGTGTTTTACCGAGCAAAATTATAATCCACCTCAGTCAAGACCTCTGGACCTAGAATCGAACCCCAGAGCTTCTCAATACGAAGCAATGGTGCTAACCATATGGCGATCTTTTACATTATATATATGATGTTAAGGACATAATGTTACCGGATGTCTGTTAAATAACCCATCCCTCTGTCTTCTAAGAACAATGGTTTTCTTCTTTGTCTCCGTTAGGATTATTAGGATTCATGATATCCTTATCCATTTGATCTCACTCCTGACTTCCTCCCAACATTTTATTCTTTGAGTCTTACTCTGGTAAGAATTTATCTGCTTTTTAATGTTGACTGCACGTGTTAAAGTGCAGTCAACATTTTAACGTGGACTCGAGAAGTATTTGCAGGAGAGAGATTTATAACGGTTGGGTGGTAATCGAATAGCAATCACAGTACAGATTTAAACACGCTGTTACGTCTTACATGAGTGGCTTAACCATTCTGTATTTGTAACTCCTCTTGCATATGTTCCTTTCAATATAGATGAAGGGCCTTCAGTGTTTCTTGAAGTGCCCCATTTGAATTTACGCATCCATTATTACTTCTGTCAATAGGTCCGGGGCACACGTATAAACACGGTAAATTTACAAGCCCATTTCTGTTGAACACGTTTGCCTTAGCTGTCTCACTGGAATTTCCACGTTACAACACGAGGAAAACTCCCCGAGTCGCAGTAATTACTTCCGATAATTTCCCACAGATAAATAACAAACAAATGTTAACATTTTCTAGAAATGCAGTCAAGACGCTATTAGAGGTTAAGGCAAACAAATGTTAACATTTTCTAGAAATGCACTCAATACGCTGTTAGAGGTTAAGGCACCAACACACTTCCCATCACGAAACAGAATAAATAGTGCAGTAACTTTGCTATGTAGGCCTGTGTAAAAACACGAACCCAAGTGTATTTTCAGTCCACTCATCAATCACAAAGAAATAAGTGTAAGATATTATTAGTTCTTAATGCAGAATTTCAGCTAAAATCAATTCTAATTCTCTGGAAGTTGACAAACTCCAATGTTATTCTTGTCATCATTATTTGTAATTAACATGAAAAATGTTTCAAGCATAATTTTTATACAGGCCTATGTTTAAGCAATGTCACAACAGTATAGTTCAGACACAGTAAGTTATCGTCATGATACGGAAATTCGTAAACAATTTTATTGATATTCTAAACCTTTTAAGAAAAACGAGCTTAACAAAAGTCTAATGTTTCCTGCAGTATCCTGCACTAAATGGCTCTGTAAATTCGCGTGGTTGCCTTTTCGATATTGATGCTGCTAACAAAGTGAATCTATTCATCGTGTCCAAGCTCATGCTACTAAGACATGCGAAAATGTCAACATTATTTCTTGGCATTTAATTGGGTTCTTCATTGATTAGAATACAATACTTTCCGAATGCGAAGAAGCTGTAGTTACCACCTAACTGCATAGTTCGCAGACAGAAACTAAAAAGTAACTAGTATTATGGGATATTAGAATTTTTTCCTGAAAAGTTTACTAAATGACATTTACAGGACCTTAAACAAAATGCAGCCATTGTGGTTTCACTGAAACATCTACAAACTATATACCGTTATTCGATTTTGCTTACCGAGACAATCCTTAATACGATAATCTGAAGGTTGAAGCACATCACAAAATTCAACACGTCTTCCTTCCTGAACAGACGCTTCGTTAATCATTCTTCAGACAGCTCATATCGATATATATCGTCAATGGGCATCGATAGTTTTGTTTTCGATAAAGTAAATAAGGTCAATATTACGAGATAATTCTGTAAGCGCGTTCATAATAGCAGTTCGAATCTCTGCATATAAAAAAATCATCCGTAGGTGCGGATTAGTGGTCCTTGAAATCGATTCATTGTTCAATTTTTGATGATAAAATATCCATGCAGACTGAACGTATTATTTTGCATTCTGCATACATATATACCAATTGAAATTGTGGGTTTGTATGTATGTTCACTTCCAGCTCGAGAACGGATAAACCGATTTGCACCAAACGTGACATGCTTATTCTTTGAGACCAGGAAGACAATACAGAAAGG